ACTCTCTAGACCCTTCTCCTGACTGTAGGCAGTCGTACCGTCGACTCAGTGCAGTTGCACTGAGGTCCTACTTGTTGACCTTGCCACTTGTCTTCATCTGAAAAACGTGGGCCTACCTTAGACTCACCACTTGACCACTTGCCGACCTTCTAGAAGGACTAAAGCTGGGCTTCTGGACTCTACTTGGACTCCTACCCTACAGGTCTACAGTTCGAATCTTCCTTCAGCCTACAACCTACGGTGACCTACTTACCACTGGCTATCGTGCAGGTCACGGGTTCAACTCCAGGGAACTGTACAGATACTGTACACAGGTAAGCTGAGGTAAAGGGATCGACCCCTGGGATCTGCATCGGCTACTGCCAAAGGTGAAAACTGTTTCATAAGCATACTTGGAACATCGGTCCCCACTATAACAAAGATGTGTCTCTTACCGTTTGCTGTTTCTGGCATAGCGATTAGTCAAAGAATACTTGGAAAATCGGTCCACTATAACAAAGATGTGTCTCTTACCGCTCCTGCTAGTCACCAAGGTATCCATGAAGTCCCTGGACACACTTTGACCAGGACCTTCAGGGATCGGCAAGGGCTTCATGAGCCCAAGCGGAGCCTGAGTCCTAGGTTCGCCTTGTTGGCAAACCTGGAAAATTTCAACGTACTTTTTCACATCTTGCATCATAGAAGCCCACCAGAATATCTGCACTAGGCTAGCTGATGTCTTTTTATAGTCGAAATGACCAGTTGCCTCATACTCACCTAAAAACAAACTATGCAAAGACTCCATATCTGGAACACAGAGTCTATTATTCCCAGCCTTCTCAAGGAACAGCAAGCCATCGACCACCGTAAATTCGTCAGAAGTGACATTGTCTTTCGCTTCTAACATATGGATGATTTCTGACATAACTGTATCTTCCCAATAGGCTTCCACCAAAGATCCGAGTTACATCTTCACATATCCCAAACTCAGTCACTAGCGCACCCAGATAGTCTTCCCCATGAGACAGCGCATCAGCCACTTTATTGTACTCTTCTTTGGGAGGATCAAGTTGGAAATCGTAAATATCTATAACTGCAATCCATCTCTTGAGTGCATCTGAGAGTACTTGTTGTGTCTTAATCCAGCGCAAGGCCACATGGTCAGATCTCACATAGAAGAATCTGACTAGGAGATAATGTCTCCAGTAGACCAGCGCTCTATAGAGGGCATAGAGCTCACGCTCATACGTGGACTTTGCTAACGTCTGAGAGGATATCTTTTTGCTCATATACTCGATGGACCTCAACTTTTTCCCCTCCTTTTGTGCAAGGACAACACCTATGCCATATTGGCTGGCGTCAGTGGTCACCACAAAGGGTTGCTCAGGATCAGGCAGTTTAAGGACTTCGTAGTGTGTTAGGGCATACTTCAATTTCTTGAAGGCTGCCTCACACTCTTCAGTCAACTCCCAAGGGGTGTCAAGGCGTGTGAGGTCAATCAATGGGGAGGCTATAGTGCTGTATTTTTTTACAAATGGTCTATAACAGCCTATCATCCCCAAGAATAACCTCACCTCAGTCACAGACTGAGGTCTGGGCCAATCACCTATGCTAGCCACCTTAGCATCTCCGACCTCAAACCGTTCGTGGAAATTTCATGACCCAGATACAAGATCTTGGTCGGGTGTCAAGGCGTGTGAGGTCAATTAATGGGGAGGCTATAGTGCTGTATTTTTTTACAAATGGTCTATAATAGCCTGTCATCCCCAAGAATAACCTCACCTCAGTCACAGACTGAGGTCTGGGCCAATCACCTATGCTAGCCACCTAAGCATCTCCGACCTCAAACCGTTCGTGGAAATTTCATGACCCAGATACAAGATCTTGGTGCGACCAAATTCACATTTTTCCAAGTTAACCTTGTACTGGTGCTGTCTTAGGAGACCTAGCACTGTTTTCTATTGCTCAACGTGCTCCTCTACAGTCTTACTAAAGATGAGAATATCGTAGAGGTACACGAAGATAAGTACTCGTGAAAGATCCGGTTCATTGCGTGTTGGAATGTCCCAGGAGCATTGCATACACAAACTCGTACAGACCGTACCTCGTCTGGAATGTGGTTTTGTGCTGGTCCTCAGGTCCAATGGCAATTTGATGGTATCCGAGCTTCGGATCTATCTTTGTGCAGTACTAGCATCCCTGCACTCTATCCAAGAGGTCGTCAATGCGAGGTAGGCGTTCCGCGTTCTTAATGGTGATGGCATTGAGGCCCCTATAATCAATGCACATCCTTAACGTACCCCCTTTCTTACCGGTGCACCATAAGGGGAGGTACTAGGCCGAATCCATCCCTTCTCTGTGAGCTTTTTGAGTTGGCGGCGGATAACTCTGCAGGAATCATCCTATAGATATGTTCTCTAGGTACTTAGCTACCGGGGACAACTTCTATCCCATGGATAACCTCCCTCTTTACCACACCACTGGGCTCCTAAAAAAAGTTTGGAAATTGAGGAATGATTGCTTCTATCTCTGAGGGTGATTTTACAGCCTCCCAGCATCCTTGCACTCTATCCAAGAGGTCGTCGATGCGAGGTAGGCGTTCCACGTTCTTAACGGTGATAGCATTGAGGCCCCTATAGTCAATGCACATCCTTAAGGTACCCCCTTTCTTAGGAATGAATAAGACAGGTGCACCATAAGGGGAGGTACTAGGCCGAATCCATCCCTTCTCTGTGAGCTTTTCGAAGTTGGCAGCGGAGCTCATCTAACTTTGCAAGAGACATCCTGTAGATCTGTTCTCTAGGTACTTATCTACCAGGGACTTCTATCCCATGGATAACCTCCCTCTCTAACACACCACTGGGCTCCTCGAAAAAGTTTGGAAATTGAGGAATGACTGCTTCTATCTCTGGGGGTGATTTTACAGCCTCCCATTTATCAGAGACAAAGACTAGGTACATGCCCTCCTTGCAATTTTGTTTATAGGAGTTATAGAAAGAAGATGCACACATGCAGCCATAGTTCTCCACTAGACTGCTAACTTTAAACTTATGCATTCTAACGGTTCATCCATTAGGCAACTTGTGGATCATCACCTTCCTATCCCAATCAAATTGAGGTTGAGCAACCTTGAGGTAGTACATGCCTAGAAGCATATCGAATGGCAACTCGTCACTAACAAGGAATGAGATTTTGTGCCTCAGTTCCCCTCCTCCATGGGAGAAGGTGCAGACTACGTCCTTGACATAGTCTTGGACAACCATATTGTGGTTGTTGGCTAGCGTAGATGCTACAAATCTTCTCAGCCGCTGCACTTGGTCCCCTAAGCGCACTCTGTCTACACAAGCACGCATGATGAAGTTCCATATAGAGCCAATGTCTGCAAGGGCGCCCACTTTGCGGCCACCTACATCAACTTCTACCACGAAATGTTCACCCCTAGGACCTTTGCTGATCATCGCCCAAGAGTCTCTCGGGTCCTTCCCTGACCACTTAGTTTGTAACTCTTTCAAGGATTCGGACACATCTCTCGAACAGAGCATCGGTGGGTCTATATGTGTATGCGGGGCGATAACTAGGTCAATAGCCTTGGCCACGCAGAAGCACCACCATAGTTTGAAGATAAGCCCACCACCGTAGGAGAGGCTACCTTCGTTGTGACTTTCTTGCCTCGACAAGTTTTGCACGTATGGCCATAATTGCCACAGTTCGGACAAGTACCCCTGGCAACTCGGTCCCTCCATACCTCGTAGTCTAAACCAAGTTTTACCCATGCGGGTGTTCCTTGGTCGCCTTGACCCTTGGACTGGCCTACCTTCTGCTTCCCGGTCCCCCAAGCCTTTTCTTTGATGGGTGCTACGACCGACTCCCCCGTCCAAAGTCTCGCCAGCCCCATACTGCTCTGTGTCTTCCCCATCGTCAGGGAAGTCGTCAATCTCAGTTGTTTGACCATCTTGGTCGACCAACATGTGATTGCCCTTCTTCCTCCAATCCTAGGGAAGCTTCCTACCATCTCCTACTCCCTAATGAGCGGTCCCAAGCTTAGCCTCTATATCTAAGGCTTTCTTGCTGAATGTAGAGAAGTTGTGTACATCGACGTTCGCCTCATCCACCAACTTGTTTTTTACGTTTGTGGGCAGACATCGCAGATAAGCTGAGAGGAGTACTTGAGGGTCGTAGCGCACACCAGGCACTACGATCAGACATTCTACAACGTCTGTGACTTCCCGCACTGACCGATACCATCGGTGGCCACCTATTGTACACAGTCCGTACAAAATCCTCCAATGTATGGGCCTAGGCCCAGGCATCGAAGTTCTGACCATAGCCCTGTTGCTGAACTAGACCATTCAACCATCTCGCTATAACTGTTTGCGCTGGCCTTATGAACTTGTGTCTCACATAGGTAGGCACAGTCCTCACCCAAGTGTCCAGGTCCTCTTCCGTTTTCTTGTCGCCAGAGAAGGGTTTAGGACTCGGCAAGGGGATTTTGGGCATCCAGTGCATGAGTTGGATTGGCCCAGGTGCTTGCTGCATTGGTTGCATTACCAATGGAACAAATTGTTGCATGCAAACCTGAGTCGGCCCTGACGATGGGGCTTTAGCCGCCACCGTCCTTGATGGTGCGGGAGAAGTTCTAAGAACCGGACCAGTAACTGCTGCTAAACCGCCTGAAAGAGGCATGCCAAACATAGGGAAAAAAAAGGGCCCTACCCGCGAAGGCGTCACTGAGGAACCCGCAACCAAAGGGGGAGCTACAGAATACCGAGGTTGCCTCATCATTGAACGAGGGGCCTGCAGTGCAGCCAGAATTCGATTTTGGCCAGCCACTAGCTCAGCCGACACCTCCTCCTGAACATCCTACATTTTTGCCACGCAAAGAAGCGAGTGTTGCAGCAACTGCATAGCAGGCTCCAGTGTCGACTCATCTAGTGCTTCTAGTCCTCCTAACTCCTGCCTCCTAGTCCATTGTCTAGCTTCTCTTATTATTGCCCTTTCTCTTCTCTCTGTTGCTTCCCTCAACTGCTGTTGCAACTCATCATGAAGAGCTTCCGCTCGAAATCTCATAATCCCTTGGCGTGAGTGGAGACTATTGGCTGACTTGCAAACCAACAAATTGACTAGCTTTTCTTATTATTGCCCTTTCTCTTCTCTCTGCTGCTTCCCTCAATTGTTGTTGCAACTCATCATGAAAAGCTTCCGCTTGAAATCTCGTAATCCTCTTGCGTGAGTGGAGGTTGTTAGCTAACTTGGAAACCAACAGACTGACTAACAAGACCCTGAGATACACCTGACGACTCCTGACGAAGTGGCCTGAGATAAGGTCTGTGACATGGTAGAGGCGTTAGCCATTGCTGCCTCTGCGCTGGCCCAAGTGCTAGCCTCTACAACTGCTAGTACCCTTTCTGCGTTGGTTGCTGCTGCCCTAGCCCTTTGCAATGCCACCCTCTCCCTAGCTTCCCTCTGCAGCCTCCTTTCCTCTCCAGGACCTAAGTCTTGGACAATGATCGGACGACTGAGAGCAGTTATGCGAGTAACTCTAAGGTTTTCCACTAACTGTTCCTCCTCCTCACTACAAACAGCTTCACTCATGAGCTATACTGGTGTGTGATCTAAACTAGAATCCACACCGAATCCTACCTCAACATGACACCCAACCGAGTAATAATAATCAACAAAATTCGATCAGCATGGAGAAAAGCAGACAAGTGGTAACCAGCAATCAATACCAGGTCTTGAAGGTAACTCTATTTCTATTTTTAGATTACTCTAAAACAGAATGCAATGTAGCAAGGAATGATCTATCCTATCTGCACTTTTCTATACAGTTGTAACCATGTCCGTACAACTGAATAATCAAAAATAAAAATAAATTACCTGTGGAGATGCATGCTGGACGGTAATATGTCTAACTAATTCCACGGCAAATAGTTGCTAGAATCTCCCCTCCCCCTGTATCCTTCTTGAGTGGTCTCTTTTGTCGACGTCCTGAGCATCTGTTTGAGCAGCGTGTCTGAAGGTGTGCAATCCGGCCCACCCCTGCGCCCCAAGGCTATACTAAGCCTGCCAGCCCTGCACCTTGTTTGTCCTCGCATGCAACAAGCCTTACTTCCGATTGATCTGGCTGATCAAGAAGCATTTTAAGGACAGCCCCCAAGGTCCTTAGGAATTATTTAACGTCGCAGCCCACAGCAGAACAGTCTCCTCAAACACAACGATTCTGAAAATCCCCTCAACCAAAACTATATAAAGTGAGAGATGAAAACTAGATAAACAATGTAGTTCGAGGTTTAATATGTAGCGTAACCATACCATTGTTAAGCACAAAACTGCTCTGCCACAAACCACCTCCTCATGCCACTCGGTCTTCTATGAAGACAGCCACCTTCTTCCTTATATCTAGTTCTACCTCACTCTCCACTTACTGTGGTGAATTCCGGCCTAACTTGCTGAGTCTGAAAAACCTCAGGCCCGGGCGGTGTAACATGCTAAACGTGTTACCTGGCTCGGCCTTCATGCACAATAAGAAAAACAAAAATAAAATTCAATTCGAAAAAACTTTAGATTACTCAGCAAGATTTTCACAGTAGCCTGCTGGAGTTCCGCATGTTACTGGTTCAATGCCTCTTCACTTCAACCAGGGGGTTCCATTTGTAGCCTCCTAGGCCCCTCGGCCTGCTGGCCGACTTGGACCCAGGTCCTGTAGCATTTTTCAAGCATACTGATGAGCCCCAATGACACCCGCCCTCCCGCCCTTGCAATGAACTTATGATATGCAAAAAATATTTCAACACTTGGGAAACCCACTTCCCATACCCACCCTCCGCCCTTGCAGTGAACTTACGATAGGCAGAAAAGATTTCAACACTTGGGAAACCCACTTCCGCTAACTCCCAATGCAGAGTTATAAGGGAAAGCAGAAGCAGGGTGTCGTTAATGGTATAACTTATCATCTGCAAGGAGAATAAGCAACAGCAAGATGACAAAATCCAGATTACACCATCACATTGAAAGCCAGATAGTCACATTAAGTCCATGGAGCAGCATTGCACCAATAATACACCGCAACTGTTGACATCAGCGGCAACCCGAAGTACCTGAAGATGTCGCCCAAATGCTGACCATCGCCAATACAGTGCCCTCACATCATCATCATCATCATCCTTCGCCCTTCCCTGACTTAACACCCACGCATGTCCTCCCTCACACCCGAAGACCACCTCTGCACCTCATTGTAGTCCAAGCCCACCAGCTATGGTGGCTGGGCTATGGCGCTGCCCTCAGCAGCGCCCTACTTCCCTGCACGACCGCACATGTTGCACCTCGCCACTCAGCGCCAGCAGCAGCCCACGAGCCACTGCTCCAGCAGCGCTGCCGCTAGCATGCGAGTGCCTTAATGAGGCTGCCAGGGGAGAGCTCTTTCCTTTATGGAAAGAACTGGCTTGCTCGCGCAGCCTGGCTGCACTGGCCTGGGCCCAAAAGCTTTCGGAAGGCCCTAGGATGTTGCCCTTGCCCTGCAGCTACTGGGCCTCGTTTGGTTGGGCCTCCCAACTGTCAGTGTATGAGGCTGTGATTCACGCCCAGGGCCTGCATTCTTTGGAAAGGCCCGGTAGGTCGTGGAAATGTCTTTTTTGCTCTGCTTGTGTTTCGCTCAACCAACTGGCGCCTCGCAATTGCCTGTACCCCAAATATGAAACTGACAGTCAAAGGCCTCTTGTGAAATGTTAGGCCCGCCTTCACTTAGTTCGGGCACCACTGTAACCGGCGCCCCTTAAGCCTGCCGAGGACGCAGATCCTCGCATTCCCTCCTTTACTTCGTTAGTCCTCTGAGAAGTTTCTTATTCAGCAGGCATCTTCCCTTTCAGTTCTCTTTCATAGCCTGCAATCGAGATGATGTCTGAAGCTCACACGATACTGCATTCTTGGTTTAGGAGGGCGCCATCTGCCTGATGGTCGAGGAACAGGCATTACTCGATGCTCCACGATCTGGTCGATGTCCACCTCGCCATCCATGGTTGTAGGCAGCATTGATCTTCTTGAAGGGAACTGCTCTGTAGCAGTGAAGGGTGCCAACTTAGAGGCATGGAAAACAGCGTACATACGTAAGTGGGGAGGAATGTGAAATACGTATGATGGCCCATCTGGTTGATCCCCTACAATGTCCAAGATCTCCCAGGGCCCAAAGTATTGTGGCATCAACTTCCGTGAGATCCACATCTCCTAACCAAGTTCAGATGATTTTACCCAGACTCTCTCACCTACCTGAAAGTTAGAGGGCCGTCTATGTCTATTCTCAGATGCGATCATAGCATCCTGAGCCTTTCTGATATGTTCAATAGCCTGTTGCAGCATCTGTTCGTACTTTACAGCAAACTCTATGTTGCCAGGTGCTGCAGTGTGTTGCCTTTCTGGTAGCAAAAAGTCAAGAGCACTTCTGTGCTTCCAACCAAGATGTAGCTGGTTGGGAGTCATACCCATACTACTGTGCACAGCGTTATTGTACAGGCTGGAGACGAGAGGTAACTTCTCGTCCCAGTCATCATGACTTGGCTTGATATAATGCCGAAGTAGGTGCTGTACTACCCGCTTCATCTGTTCGGCTTGGCCATTTGACTCAGGGTGGTTACCTGAAGTCATTTGGAGTTTGGTGTCCATCTGTTCAGCAGTGGATTGCCACAGTTCACTAGTAAACCGTATGTCCCTATCACTTACTATAGATGTGGGAAGTCCAAAATCGCATACCCAATTGTCTAAAAATAGCTTGATGATAAAGTCAGTTTTCGCAGTTTCTGGCATGGCGACAAGTCTCACATATTTAGAGAAACGGTCTACTATTACGAAGATGTATCTTTTTCCAGATTTCCTGGTCACAAGTGTATGCATGAAATCCATGGACACGCTCTGAACACGGCCTTCAGGAATCGGCAAGGGCTTGAGGAGCCCAAGCGGAGTCTGAGTCCGGGGTTTGTCCCTTTGACAAAGTTGGCATGTTTCAACATACTTCTT